TCTCCCTCTTTCTCTATTTCTTTCTCTTTTTCTCTCTCTCACACCACACGGACACACAGACACTCACACACACACACTTACCCCCCCCCACACACACACACACACACACACACACACACACACTGTGTGCTGGAGCGCTATGAGACTTGACTGTGACTATCTGGTTACGCCAAGGACTAATCCTGTAGCTGTGATCTGTCGGGAACCCTTGCTGTTGTAGCAGGCTGTGTGGAGGGTCGGTGGTGGTGGCTGCCCAATCAAAGGATTGCTCATTGACTCGTGTGTCTCGTGTGTCAATGTCTGCCTTCTCTTCAATGTGTCTCGTGGGTGGTTGGCTGGTGCTCTGATGTGGTGTGCTTCTTCTTTCCTATCAAACATCTATCATCCTAATCTCTCCTCTTTCTTTTTGTGTTTGTTACTCTCTTGTAACACCTCTAATCTTCGGCACTTGTATGATCTTATTGTGTTGCAAGTGCCGTAAAACACTTACTAAAACTAACAATGTGACACGTGTGTCAATGTCACAGTTCCTTCCTTTTGGAACTCCTCCTGTCTGACACAGCATTGTTTGTTAGATATAGATAACCTTCCAAATCAGAACGTGGCAGCCTTAAATGTGGTGAGTGGGTGGTTGGCAGGTGCTCTGGTGTTGTTCTCTCCATCTTTCCCATCCACCATCTGTGGTCCTCGTCTCTCCTCCTTCTGTTCTTTGTTTGTTACTCTCTTGTAACACCTCTAATCTTCGGCACTTCTATGACCTTGTGCTGCAAGTGCCGTAAAACACTTACTAAAACTAAAAGTAGGAAAAACAGTGACATTCTTGAAAGGGCCGTAAGACCTCACCAAAACAAAACAAAACAACATTGTTAAAAGTGAGGTGTACCCCGGGACTGCAAGTGGAAGATTGAAGAACCAGCGGGTGTGTGGAGTAGCCATGGGGTGTGTGGAGTAGCCATGGGATGTGTGGAGTAGCCATGGGATGTGTGGAGTAGCCATGGGATGTGTGGAGTAGCCATGGGGTGTGTGGACTATCCATGGGGTGTGTGGACTATCCATGGGGTGTGTGGACTATCCATGGGGTGTGTGGACTAGCTATGGGGTGTGTGGACTATCCATGGGGTGTGTGGACTAGCTATTGGGTGTGTGGACTATCCATGGGGTGTGTGGACTAGCTATGGGGTGTGTGGACTATCCATGGGGTGTGTGGACTAGCTATGGGGTGTGTGAACTAGCCATGGGGTTGTGGACTAGCCCCGGGGTGTGTAGACTAGCCATGGGATGTGTGGACTAGCCATGGGGTGTGTGGACTAGCCCTGGGGTGTGTAGAGTAGCCCTGGGGTGTGTGGACTAGCCATGGGGTGTGTGGAGTAGGCAGAGAGAAGACAGAGAAGGAAGAGAGAAGGCTGAGAGTAGAAGGAGGAGCGAGTCAGGCGGGGCGGTGGATAATCCGTTTTATGAGCCGTCTCAAGTTTCTGCTGTGTGGGAGGCATTAGGGCTTGAAAGGGACAGGATTGTGGGTGATTACAGCCAGCCGCCGCTGCCCTTTGAAATGGGATCCCAACAACACCACAAGTGACACCTTAGGAGGAGGGAATTGGGGGTGGGGGGGGGACAAACCCAAAGCTTCCAACAGCTTGTGTGGCACTGTTGTATCTCTGTGTTT